ACCTTCGCGCCCTGCTTAGCCCCAGATCCCCCCCGCCCGCCCACATAACCCCAGGCAAAGGTCCCTGGGGTCTTTTTCTCCCTCCCCTCCCCTCCGCCCCGCGCACCTAGGGAAACAGGAGTCCGGCGGCGGCCGTGCAGGACTAACGAGAGACGGAGTCCAGCCTGAGCTGGGGTGAGTCAGGCGCATTGGCGTGGACATCCCACGTCGGCGCTGGGCATCGACGCCGCAAAGCGAGCTCTGACTCACCCCGGCTCAGGCTGGCCTAGACATTTTTGTCCCTCTCGAAAGGCGCCGCCGGACGCCTGGGGGGTTTCGGGTGTTCCCGTCGGACGTGGCAACTTCTGGCATCATCAGCATGATGCGCGTCCGGCGTCCCCCCACCTCCTCCAGGTCCATGCACGTCCATGTGCAGCGGGTGGAGGAGATAATAGATCAGCGCCAATTTAGCCATGCTCGGAGATTAATCAATTCGGGGACGGTGGGAATCCGCTCTGGCCTTTTACTCAGGCCAAATTAAATCCGTCCCCCGTAATTACGCGAGGAGTTAATCCTCCCAGTTAATCCGCACGCCAGCCGCTTCCTTTTCGTTGTTGCTTACCCCGCTTTGACCTACCAGCGAGGGAGGCGCTTCTGCACCCCCGGGAAGGTACCCACCTGCAAAACTCTACTCTTTATCCCCCCGCAAGCCTTAACCCCACCCCCCTTCCTGCACTCGACTCTCTCCCCCCCCCAGCTCTCTGCATTTTGACCCCGGTTTTGGAAGTACCTCCGTCGCAATGACAATCCTGCCCGCTTGCCTGCCGGCCAACCTGAGTCTCCAGCCTCCGCGACCCCCTTCTCCGCTTTTCCAAGCCCATCTCGTATGGGGGGGGGGGCAGCTCCTGCCTCCATCATGCATCATGCAAACCTTCCCCCCGCCAGCCTACCTCAATACCTTGCCCCCAGGGTAGTTACCAACAGTACTTTGCAGGAGTCCTTTCCCCCCAGGCAGGCAGGCAGGCAGGCATCCCTCCCCTTCCCCGGTTTCGCCTCCAGACTTACCAGGGGCGGAACAAGCCGTCCTCCCGGTCCCAAGCGGCCGGGTTCACCAGCCCGACGCGCGTGCGCACTACCGTTTTACGCCAAGCCCCGTCCTTTTTTTTTAAAAGGCGGCGGGGGGGAGAGCTACCAGTATCTGTTTTACGATCTTGCCGTAAAGCAACCAAGTCAGCCGCCGCGGCGTTGTTTTCAGAGGGTCGCCTTCAGCTCTGCGCATGCGCGAACTCGCGGATGGCAACGGCCGCGAGGATCCGGGGTTTTCCGGGCCGTTGGCGGGGAGGTCGCGCGGCGGTTGTCTCGCGCGGTCGCCTTTCCTCGACGTCTGCTGAAGGGCCGGCGAAGGAGGCCCCGTCGGCTTCCGAAAACAGGGTAAACGGAGACGGCTGGAAGAAACGTCTGACGAGGTTTCGGCGGCAGACGCTGTCTATGAAACGAAAGAGGACCCGAGAACTGCCGCCTTGGGCACGCGCTTACTTGGGAGTAAATCCACCACGGCTTATAGTGGGGCTTTACTTCCCAGTAAACGTGCATAGAGATCAGGTCTCCTCGGGTTGACAGCAGATTGAAGAGATCTTACCTGAGTAGCGGTGGGGGGCCGTTGGCTCGGTTGTCTGGACAATTTGCGTGTAGGAAGTCCCAGGTCTAGTCCTTAGTGTCTCCATTTAAAACAGGGTCAGGGAGTAGTAGGTCATGTGAAAAGCCACTGGAGAGCCAGTGAGAGTGGAGAGTGCTGACCTTACTAGACCAAGTGGTCTGACTCAGTGTATGGTAGTTCTCATGTGTTTGTGGGCACTAATTGGGTCTTCATTCATGTTGCTCGTGAGTAAAAACCTTGGTAGCTCCTTGATGTGATGTGACTTCATGTGCTCATGAGCTGTGGGGCTGCCAGTTGTGCACATGAGTGTGTGCGGAGTGGGTCTGCTGCATACATGTAGCTGGTGAGTAAAAACCTTGGTAGGTCAGTGATGTAAGGTGGCTTCATGTGTTCCTGAGTTGTATAGAGGGCTAATTGGTTCCACCAGCTCATAAGCAACATGTATGGAGAACCAATTAACACTCCTATGTGTATGCAAGATCTTGATATGATCTGACTCAGTGTAAGGCAGTTTTGTGTGTTCATGAGTTGTAAGGATGGTGATTGTCTGATAAATCTGCATGCAACTTGGTTATAATCACTTTTCAATCAGTTCCCCCCCCCTTAGGTCAGTGAGTTCACACTTTTGGGATATAGTGACCCACACATTCAAATTTATTTGGCAGGGTGACCCTCTCTCTCTCTCTCTCTCCTAAAAAAAAACAAATACAAATCAATAAAACTGTAAAAGCCTGGGTTTCTGATCCACACTGCTTTAGAGCATGCTTTCATTTTCAGCTGGTACACATTCAGTGTCTTAGGTTAGGCACTGTCCTAGCCATTGTTCATACGTGCAGGAGTAGGAAGGAGGCGGAAGGAGTAGGAAGTGGTGGAACGGATGGCTTCTCTCTGGAACACAAGTGGTGGAATCCAACTTTGAACGTTACTTTGCACAAAACATTCCATGTAGTCAGGGAGCCACTGTGGTGTCGTGGTTAAGAGTGTCAGTTATGATCTGAGAGACCCAGGTTCAAATCCCATTTGTGCCCTGCAAGCTTAGTGGGTGATCTTGGACCAGGGTTGCTGCAAGGACTAGATGGGGGGAGAGAATGATGTCAGCGCTTTGGGAGCCATTGGAGGAACAGGTGGTGTCTAAATGAGTTAAATAAAATAAACAGATGCAAATGGAATATCAGCACAGCATGGAGAAAAGTTCTTCCCTGTCTCGTGGCTTGTTGTTTCAGTTTTATTTATGTTTGGTTACTTTAAAAATTTATATCCGCACCCTTACAGCAAGCTCAGAGTGACTTATAACAAATGTTTTGAAGATGGTTTGTGACATAGTATTCCAAATTGATACAAAAGATTTATCACTTTCTATTGTGTGATGCTGCGGTGGCTCAAGTGGTTAAGACGCTGAACTGCAGGCTGTGGAAGGTCAGTAGTTCAGCGGTTCAAGACCCAGGTACCGCAAGACAGGGTGAGCTCCTGTCTCTAGTTCCAGCTCCTGCCAACCTAACAGTTCGAAAGCAAGAAATTGCAAGTAGATAAATAGGTACCACTTCGGTGGGAAGGTAACAGCGTTCCGTGCGCCTTGGTGTTTAGTCATGCCGGCCACATGACCACGGAAACGTCTTCGGACAGCGCTGGCTCTTCGGCTTTGAAACGGAGATGAGCACCGCAACCCTAGAGTCGGACTCGACTGGCTTTCGAGCAAGGGAACCTTTACCTTTACCTTTATTGTGTGATGCTATGCAAGACGAATTAGTTAAACCATCAATGGTAGTTTGGATGCAGTATATAGGACATAGTCTGGATATAGATGATTGGCCTAAAATATGGAAAGCTGTTAAACTGTTAAGATCAACATCATTTAAAGAAAATACTCTTAAAATGTTTTGTAGATGGCACTGGTCACCAGACAGAATGGCTAAAAGTTATAAAGAGGTATCAAGAAATTGTTGGAGATGTCTCACAGTTCAAGATTGGATTGGATATAATGTTTTGAAGATTGTTAAGCAGTGCAAAATTTGTTAAAAAATTCAATAAATAGAGTTGTAAAAAAAAAGAAGAAGAAATTGTTGGAGATGTAAAAATAATATAGGCACATTTTCCCATCTCTGTTGGTGTGAAAAGATTTACAAATTTTGGAAATGTATTAACCAGTTAATAATAGAGATTGTGGATATAAATTTACAACTGTTACCGGAAATTTACCTATTAAATATAATACCAGATGGTTACGGACGCGACAACACATGTATTTTGATATATATTCTTACTGCATCAAGAATTGTTGTTGTTCAGTCGCACAGTCAAGTCCGACTCTTCGCGACCCCATGGACCAGATCACGCCAGGCCTTGCTGTCTTCCGCCGTCCTCTGAAGTTTGCTTAATTTCATGTTCGTTGCATCTATGACACTGTCTAACCATCTTGTCCTTTGCCATCCCCGTCTTCTTTGACCTTCAAGCTTCCCGGCATCAGGGTCTTCTCCAGTGAGTGCTCCCTTCTCATTTGGTGGCCAAAGTATTTGAGCTTCAGTTTCATTTCAGTTTCATCAGTTTCAAGAATACTTATAGCCAAATGTTGGAAATCTGAAAAACTGCCCACAAGGGATGAATGAGTTGGTTACAAAAATATATGAAATTGCAGAAATTGACAAACTGAACACGATATTGCAAGGGAAAGACACAAGAACTTTTAAAAAAATATGGTATAGAGTGTATAAATGGTTTGGAAAGAAGGTTTACTGTAAACTTCAAAGAATGAACTATGTATATCCATTTGTTTTTTATTTTCTTTTGTAAATAACAAAACTTATAAATAAATGTGTTAAAAAAACCAACAAAATATAAGGTACCACCTGCAGTCAGAGGAAGTGCAATCTGTTCTACCACCTTAGGGCTTTGACACTTCACTCACTACCATGTGTGAACTAGGCCAGAGACGAGGTATTCTGTATTGTGCAAGAGAAGGGAGAATGCCACTTTCAATTTGTGGTTTTATTTTTTAGTTACTTCATTTTTACCCTGCCTCTCTCCCCAGTGGGGATCCAAAGCAGCTTACATTGTTGTCTTCCCCTCTATTTTATCCTGTACCAGCCCTGTGAGGTAGGTTAGGCTGAGAGTGTGTGACTGGTCCACGGTCACCCAGCTTCTTCAGCAGAGTGGGGATTCGAACCTGGGTCCTCCAGATTCTAGCAGTCCGATACGCCAAGCACTTTAAAAAGCTTATCTGATCAGTTTTAAGAGTACCTACATTAATCTGTTAATCAAAACTGTTAATCAGCTGTTGTCCCTTACATTTATACTTCGTCTGTTTCTATTGTGAAATTCTGGGCAGCCTACAGAAGTTTCCCAATCCGACCACGTGCCTCATAGCCACAAGCTGGGTCCCTGAACACTGTTGCTGTGCTGAGCAATCCTAAGCATATGTACTCAGATGTATATCTCACTGAGTTCTGGGGAACATATTCTCTGGTAAATGTGTTTAGGATCGCAGGGCTGTTGTTTTAAAGATAGAAATGTTTTCTGCAAATGGGGGGCACATGCATTTCTGCACTGCTGCTGTGCTGTTGACTCTTAAGGAGTAGGCTGAGTTGGGTAAAAGGGAGTTGATGACAGGCAGGCACAGGGCTGAATCACCCACACTTTTGTTTTTGTTTTTCATCTTTGCAGATTGAGTGTTGCTGAGCCAATTGACTGGATTGTTTACTCTGAGGGCAAATTGCTGGTTTATGTCATGTACTGTGTGGAGAGTTACATCCTGATAATTTGCACTTGTGGTCACTCTGTCATTCAGTTTCTCGTTTTGCATTTTGGCTCAGAGGAGCCCAGCATATCAACGACAGGCAGAACAGCAGCTGGCAGAAGGGAGATACAAGTACGTCATGAGTTACTCCTGGCCTCTGCAGTCACTCCAGTGAGAACTCAGTTGTTGTTGGGTTTTTCCCCACTAAAATTCCTAATACTTATTTTTAAAAAGGTTGCTACCAATTCCTGGCTATTCCTGTCATCCCTTTTAAATGTACTGTAAAAATGACTGTATTTCCGAGAACTCTTTTGCCAGGTTCATGGTCCAGCAAAACACAAGAGAGAATCTGCCAATACTGGCTCCAGGATGGCCCTGGTGGGGGAGGCCATAGGGAAGATGCACTGAGTGGGCCTTTTTTGGCCTGAAAGGGCAAGTGAGTGTGAGAGCAAACTGACAGTTCCTCATGCTGCTGCTTTTGGTTTATTGTAAATCACATGCTTTTGGTTTATTGTAAATCACATAGATGAACAAAACCTATTGAGGCAGACTCAGCATGGGTTCTGTAAGAGAAGAGCTTGTCTCACTAACCTGTTAGTGTTCTTTGAGGGGGTGAACACACATGTGGACAAGGGGGATCCAATAGATATTGTTTACCTTGACTTCCAGAAAGCTTTTGATAAAGTTCCTCATCAAAGGCTCCTAAGTAAGCTCAAAAATCATGGGATAAAAGGACAAGTCCTTTTATGGATCAAAAACTGGCTAATTAATAGAAAACAGAGAGTGAGTATAAATGGGCAGTTCTCCCAGTGGAGGGGGGTAAGCAGTGGGGTACCACAGGGATCAGTACTTGGTCCACTGCTTTTTAACTTGTTCATTAATGATTTGGAGTTGGGAGTAAGCAGTGAAGTGGCTAAATCTGCGGATGATACGAAGTTGTTCAGGGTGGTGAAAACCAGTGAGGATTGTGAGGCACTCCAAAGGGATCTGTCAAAGATGGGCGAGTGGGCGTCAACATGGCAAATGGGGTTCAATGTGGCCAAGTGCAAGGTGATGCACATTGGAGCCAAAAATCCTAAATATAAATACACATTGATGGGGTCTGAACTGGCAGAGACTGATCAAGAGAGAGATCTTGGAGTTGTAGTAGATAACTCACTGAAAATGTCGAGACAGTGTGTGACTGCAATAAAGAAGGCCAATGCTATGCTGGGGATTATTAGGAAGGGTATTGAAAACAGATCAGCCAATATAATAATGCCCCTATATAAATCAATGGTGAGACCTCATTTGGAATACTGTGTGCAGTTCTGGGCACCACACCTTAAAAAGGATATTATAGCTTTGGAAAAAGTGCAGAAAAGGGCAACTCGAATGATAAAAGGGTTGGAACACTTTCCCTATGAGGAAAGGTTAAGGCGCTTAGGGCTCTTTAGCTTGGAGAAACGACGACTGAGGGGTGACATGATTGAGGTTTATAAGATTATGCATGGGAAAGAGCAGGTAGAGAAAGAGGTACTTTTCTCCCTTTCTCACAATACAAGAACCCGTGGGCACTCCATGAAATTGCTGAGCGGTCGGGTTAGAACGGATAAAAGGAAGTACTTCTTCACCCAAAGAGTGATTAACACATGGAATTCACTGGACCTCCTGATGGCACCTGGTATTTCTGGCCACTGTGTGATACAGAGTGTTGGACTGGATGGGCCTTTGGCCTGATCCAACATTGGCATCTCTTATGTTCTTAACTGTATCCTTTTGAAACTGTTGTCTCAAATAGGAAAAATTGTTGTTTTCAAAAGGATTTTTTTTTGTGTGGAAATGTAATTATGGAATTAGAAATCACAAGAAGATTAGGAGGCTTGTGGGGGAAGGGAAATCCTATCCCTTCTGCTCCCCCGCTCTCTTCTGGCGCTGCTTAAGTCACTTGACTTCCTTCCTCCATTTTGGTTCCACCCCTTCCCACCCACTTTTTTTCTCCCCCCTCCCCCATCTGCCTGATCTTTTGCCATACTTTTTTCTTCCTGTCACCACTTCCTTCCTTCCATTGGCTGTGTGAGAGAGTTCCCCCCTCTCCATTTCCTTCGTCCTTCTGGTTCTGTTCCTGCTTTCTCTCCCTCACCCTTGTTGCTGTTGCTCCTTGCAATGGTGGATGTCCTGTTGTTGTTTCTGGTTGTCTTAGCAACTCAAAATGGTGACCCAGGTCTTGCCATCTTGTGAGGGATTTTATCCACACAACAGCCATACTTGTGTATTAGATATGTGATAAGATTTTGCCTCTGGAGTTGTTATTCTGTGTTTAGTGTTTAGCCTTATCTAATCTTCCCTTGGTATCATGGAAATAGAAATGTGGGTACGTGTGGATTACTTGTTAATCTGTGCTGCCTTATTAAACTTGTATCTAGCAAATGTTCACAAAGCAGTGCTGAAGCAATTTGTGATGCTTTTGAATGAAAAAACAGGAATTTCAGCAAAAGTCACCCCCCCTTTTTTATTTGTTTAAGACTTCAGGTTTTCGCCCTCCTTCAGATTCTTGCCACGATTGGATCGGACCTCCTGATCAGCATTCAAACCTCCGGCCAATAATATTTTATATTCCTAAACATGAATCTCCACTGGAACGCAGACTTAGAGAACTTAGACAAGAAACGCAAGCTTGGAATCAGCAATTCTGGGCAAACCAGAATGTATTGTTTAAAAAGGTAAGCGTGCAGCAAAAATGCAGAGCCACTTGGTGGTGCTGGGAATCTTGCAGTGTGGATTGCCAAGAGACTCGAACAAAGTTTTTCCGCTGTTGTTATATTGTGTGATGTAGAGGCTGATCTTTGTTTTTTCGTAAGTCATATTTACTTATTTAATTATACCACACCTTTCTCCCCTATGGGGACTCAAAGCCGCTTACATCATTCTCTTCTGCTTCCTTTTCTCCACACAACATCCCTGTGCGGCGGGTTAGGCTGATAGAATGTTAACTGGCCCAGTGTCTCCCAGTGAACTTCTGCAGCTGGAGTGGGGGGTTTGGATCTGGGTCTCCCAGGTACTAGTCTGACACTCTTAACCACTACACTCTGCTGCCTCTCAACTCCTAATAATGAAATAATGACGAGTATATCCTTTTTAATTCCTAAATACCCAAAATAATGTGCATTAAAAAGTTCCACTGTTTTTTTAAAAAAGCTCACAGTACTTCACTTATTTATTTATTTATTTATTTATTATTAATCAGATTTATATCCCGCCCTCCCCCGTAGGGCGCAGGGCAACTTACAGGGCAAGAAATCTTGCAAATAAAAACATATTATTCCGATATTTAAAACTTAGCATGGACGGATCTATTATATTTCCTCTGTTGCTGAAGAAAATGTTTCTGTACAAGCTTGTTTTAAATTGGTCATAAGTATGGGCCCATAGTCAGCCAAACAGACAACTTAGACATTATGAAGCTTCCTGTGGGCACAGGTTGATTGTTTGCAGAATGGTCACTAAACGTTTCCTGAACAAGAGGCGGTCACCAGGTAATGTACTCAGTGGATTAGGTTCTAGGGTTGCTTAGACCTTATGGACAAAATGAAGTTATAGCAACTAATATCTTTAAATGATGATATTTCAGGAAAAAGAAGAGTTCGTTCGCTCCAGATTGAAAGCCAAAGGTCTAGAATTGAGAGATGAACAAGGTTAGTGAAACCATTGTTTCTGTAATTGTATGGTTCCTTAAAGAGAAGGTTCTGGTTGTTTCCTGGATTTTAATCTTGATGAAATGTTGTAGTGCAAACGATTGCACTTGATCAGTAGTAAACAAGGCATAACCCTGCCTTTTTGGAACAGAATTTGATTATGAACAAATTGCAACTGACTTATGGTGACCCTAGCCTGGGGCTTTCAAGGCAACTGAGACACAGAGGTGGTTTGCCATTGCCTGCCTCTGCAGAGCCTTCATTAGTAGTCTCACATCCAAGTACTGACCTTGCTTAGCTTCCAAGATCTGACGCGATTGGGCTATATACCATGCTGCCCTCCCTCCCACAGAATTTGATTAGGGGTAACATATGGTATGATCTTGGTAATCCATACCCTCAGAATCTTTGCTACCCTCCCTTGCTACCTGCACTGCTTGAAGCCTTATATTCTTTTGGGTTATGATTCCAAGAGGAGGGTGGGAAGAGAACTTTATTGTCAGAAGAATATTATGAAAAACACTTCTCAAGAGTCTGGATGCTGAGGTGACAGCTAGGTCATTCCTGGGTTTACTGTGAATCTGCAGCTACTCAGTTCCTAAAGTCCTCTCCCCCCCAATACTGATCTGTTCAGCTTAACCACTTATTACCAGTATTTCTGCCATATTATTTAATCTGCAAAACATTTAAAAATCTTTTCTGAGTGTACCTTCGCAGTGGTCCCAGATCACTGTTTTTCACGTCTTGTATATCACGAAAGTAGGCTGTGAGACTGTGACTTGCCCAAGGCCATGCAGCAGGGAGACTAGAACGCAGGTCTCCCACATTCCAGCCTCGCACTGTATGCTGTGCCTAATTTTTCCTGGGGCTTGCATTTAAATGTATGTTCCGGCATGCTTAAAATGTTTTCTGACCCAAGTGTTGTGCAATCTTATTTTTAGGGCAGAGAGTAACACTGGACGCTGAAGAAATGGCTGAATTTTACAAAGCTTTCTTAAGTAAAAACTATAAAAAGCAGCTATTTTATAACAGGTGAGAATCGTGACTCCAGCATATAGAATATTCCTTCCCCCTTTATTTATCAAGTCTCTCCAGTCTTCTTCAGACTGAAGTGTTTTAAAGTACAGCAATTAGAAAGGACTTTAATTTACATTGCTCTGCCACCCCTGCAGGGTTCTTTACACAAAAACATCACAATCCCCACATCATCCACTTCTAATCCCTGTTAAATAGGACTGGAGGAATAGACAACAGACAACTGGGATGAGTCTGTGAAGAACCCAAGAGGAATTACCACACTTCAGAAAATGGTTTGTTTTAGGGGTTTTAGGGGAGTCTGAAAGGTTCTTCACAAATCCTAGACTCATCATCATCCAGATGTGATTAGTTTTCTTGTCTCTTGGTACACAAGGTATTCCTACTGTTCAGTCCCAGAATAACAGAGTGGTATGTAGGAAACAGAAGAGAACACAAAAGGTACTACTGAGTACCAGAGGCCACAAAAAGAAAAGAAAAAGAGCAATTCTCCTTGCCTTTGTAAAAACAAATGGTTATTTTTGTGATCTCTGGTACTCAGTAGTACCTTTTGTGTTCTCTTCTGTTTTCTGTATACCACTCTGTTATTCTGGGACTGAACATTAAGAGCACCTTGTGTACCAAGATACAAGAAAGCTCATTTCATCTGGATCATGATGAGTCTAGGATTTGTAAAGAACCGTGGGATGATAGAGCAATCTAAATAAAAATCCTTTCTAATTGCCATACTTTAAAACACTTTTCTAAAGAACAGATGCTGGCCGTTCTTAAAAAATTCATTGTGGACAGATATGTTAACTTCACAGCAAAGGATCGATCTGCTGAGCCACATCTGACTTTTTTGATGATTTTTCCTGTCGAATTATTCCACATAAGTGACTGTTAGAATTGATTTAAAAGTTAATTTTTTAAAAATCGATTAAAAGGTAAACCTGTTTAAGGTACCTTAAAAATGATCTAGTTTATGTTCTAGTTCACAGAAGCTAGAATAAAAACTTGTGGCTTTAAGAGGTGCCACAAGGCACCTGTTTATCTTTTTTGTTCAGTTCTTGGATACAATAAAAATGCTCCCCCTCTTGGTAAAAAAAATCTGTGATGCCCTGAAAGCTAAATATTTCCAGGCTGCATTGGTATTTGAATAAATCATCTTAGTTTATATTATTACTCATTACCCTGGTATGTGCAGTATGTAACTCTGCTCGCCTGGGGGTATGTCGTATTATACACATAGAGTTGCTGTTTTTGACTTGGCACTTTAGAAAATTAAAAGCAGAAGAGTTTGTAGCCTGTTCTGCTTTAAGAAAGGACAGGAAAAACAGTGTGCTACAAACCAAGATTTCCCAATCTCCTGTCTTCTTCCTGTCGTTTCAAAATACTTTTAGAAGTACCCTAATTGTGTATTTTTGCTGATGTGTTTCCTTGTTTCTGAAATATAGGGATTGGTACAAACGGAATTTGACCATCACATTCATCATGGGTCGAGTGGCATTAGAGAGAGCATGGAGAAGACTTGGGTTTAAAAAGATAAGAACTGAGGGCTAGTACGTTGCAGCACCAGGTACCTTGGGAAGATGGCCTTACTATTTCTTAGAAACCGAATTGGAATGGTGGCTGTCCTCAGGTCTTGAAGGAGCTTCAGATATGAATGAAAGTTGAGTTGGGTCTTTCTCTGCTACTTTTTATAGCACCAGATATCTCCCTTTTAGTTGAAAGATAAACTGGTAACATCAAAATTGTACCGTATTTATAGAAAAAAGGGCTCATGGTGTCTTTATTTCTGGTTCCACAAATCAGTTTTCGTGCCTTCTTTGTCTGTGGCCTGGCACTTGCATTCCACATTGGTGAAAACACGTGTCAATCAGGTTTCACAACATAATACAAAATAAGTTCTAAAGAGCTTGATAAATGTATCATTTTTTAATTTTCTTGTTGTCCAACTCTTACGATGCAATCCTAAGCAGAGTTACACCTTTCTAAGTCCATTGACTTCTGTTTTGGGAAGGTGTAATTGTGCTTAGGACTGCCTTGTTAGTTACTCAGCTTCCAGGAAGAAAGCGATTGTAAATCTGGACCAAGCTATAAGAGTGCTTGCAAACACCACTTCTTTTTGCCAATTGTTTTTTGATCACCCTTCAGCTACTGCAGGTGCTTAATTCTGCATTCCTTGAGAACCAAAGTGCCAAAAGTCTGTTTTATCTTAGGGGGGTTTCTGGGTATTAATGATCTGTCACCATGTTTAACAATCATCTAGTCTAAATGAACACTGTGTATTGAGCCGGAATTGTGTATTGCATGCCAGTTTAGGCTGTGCCTAGATATAGTGGCAATGTTCTTCTTGTTAAACAGACTGCGAATACTGTCCTTGGCTGTTCATGAGAATGGCGGTAGTCCCTTGCAGCTGCCTCAGCATCTATATAACATCAGATCTGGCTGTGTCCTGATCTTGATTTTTCAAGGAAGCCAACCCAGTGTTCCTCTACCATTGATCGAATTCATGAAATTACAGTTAGTTGATTCTGTGTATTCATCCGTCAGGGTATAAGCTTGAAGGAAGACTCCCTCTTTCTAAATATAATCGTAATCGAGATAAGTCTTTTCTGGAGCCGTTTGCCTCTTTAGAAGTGTTGAAGCGAACAACTTAATAACCCTGCTGAAGTTTCGGGTATTGGTATGGAGCTGTGTCCGTTTACATTAAGGCATCTGTGATGTCTGAAGGATGTCACCTGTCAGATGGCTCATTCTGTCCTTTAGCAGAAGGCTAATTAAGGGTGATTGAAGATATGTAGGACAACATCACTAGAAAATGTCCCTGTTTTCCCTCTAGGCAGGTTCCTGTTACGATTCTGCACTCGCTTCATGGCCCCATGTAGTAGGATAGTCATTTAATAGCGTGTTGGCTGTATAAATCAAAAATTCAAAAGGACGCTGATGTGTTATTGTTTCACTACACTTAATTTCTTTAGTTCCGTAACAGAGGGGTTAATGTGTCAGTCTGAACTGGCTAGTTCAGCCAGTTAGGGCCTTGAAGGAATTATTCTTTTGTTGGCGGATTTTTAAACCAAAGGACTCCTTGTGTATACACTGTGTAAACGGTGGCAATTTTTTTTGTGCAGATACCAATGATCAAGTTCATTTTGTAGATCTTTCCACATACTCATCCAACTTTCATGTCCTGCATGAGGCTCCTCCCTCTCCGGCTCTGATGGCTTGCCCTTGGCTGTCTCCCCAGGCCTCAGGATGGGGAAGGGGGGGGGGGTTAAGCCACCTTATTTCTTCTCCTTTCCCCAGGACCACAGCTCTTGCTACATTAGAGCTGCAGCCTCCTCTCTGGCCTTTCCCAGGAACCTTCCTTTAAAGACCCAAATAGCCCTGCCCCTTCTCTGGGCATACCCGGCCTCTCTCCGAGGGAGGGCAGTGATTCGTTCCTCCCTGTCCCTCCTACTGGGCTGCTGGATGGCTCCTCCCCCCAGCTGCCCTCCCTCCTGCCCTGTTGGCTATGCCAGGGGTTGGCATACTTGCTATTGTGCAGGCTTCTCCAGCCCCGTCCTGGCTTTGGCTGTGGAGGCTGCCGTCCTCTCTGGGCTGCTCCAGTGTTGGGCCCTAGCTGGTTCTTCTGCCTGAAGCTGGAGTCACGGTGCCAGGTAAGGGCCCCACCATGCTGTCACCTGGGAGGCTGCTTGGCTCTCTGTCAGCAGGGATGGGGCTGCTGGGAGCTGCGACTCCCATAGTGGCACGGGAGGGTCTGGTCCTAAGTCTGGCAGTGTCTCTGGACACATTGCTACTTATGAATCATTCTTGACTCAGACCAGAGGTCCACGGCTGCTTTCAGTTTGTGCATGACCAACAGCCCACACTTGCCTAAATTTCATTGTATATTACTTTTGGTACAACTGGTGCCATTGGATGTACTTTCTGGTGAGATGCATTATTCAAGAGAACGGTGTTTGTTGTAAGAAAAAAATGATATTTTCCAATAAAAGGTAAGCACTTTGACAATCTATTAATAATGATGAATGTAATGTCTTTCCATAATCAGTTATCGAATGTACCAGTGACAACACCATTGTACAGTGATGAAAATTTAAAGTGACTTTGGAAGGAATTTCTACTGTATTTAATAAAATGCTTAATTCAAATAACTTTTGTCTTCTCTGTGTGTTTAGGCCTTTGATTATGAATGATGGAAGTGTCCAACCTCAATAAAAACGATTCACTCCAGAAAAATCAACTGTTTCTCTGTTGGCATAGTCATTGGGCATAGTCACTAGGCTTGGAAGAAACAGAGAGGTCTTTGAGTAGGAAATCATTACTTTATGGATTCATTTATACTCTGCTCTTTCTGGCCTCCTTAGGGCGAGCGAGACAGGTAACCGATTAAAAACATATGTAGTAAAAACACATCTTTAAGACCATTAAAATCAAACAAAAACATGTCATGCAAACAATTTAACAAATCATGCAATTGCTGCAATAAGTTCAAAAATTACAGAACAATGACAATCAAATGTAGGCTTATTCTGATGTATTATTTTCAAATTTCTTCTTTTATTCCATAGGTCAAATGACGAACATCTCGAGTTTCCAGAGTTCGTTTCGAGTTCTTTATCAAAATTCTGTGTTGTGGTGGTATTTTTCAAACAATCCAATAGTAGGAATCTCAATTTCCAAATGGCTATGAAATAGCTCCCATGTTAGCCAGAAGTTTCTCAACAATGGGAGCTATTTCATAGCCATTTGGAAATTGCGGGAAGCCTGAAGAAGGGGAGGGAGGGAGGGAGAAAGGGGAAAAGGGTATATTGTTAATGATGAAATGGTATAATATTGGACATGTTGTTATATCCAGATAATAAAATGGGTTTTTTAAAAAATACACATAAGTACAATAAATAGATAACAATTCAAAACAGCAAAAAAGGAGGGATTGCACTAACGGAATGCCAAATGAAACCAAAAGGTCTTTGCCTACAGGTGGAAGATGGTAACAGAAGGGGACAGGTGAGTTTCTTAGGGGAGAGGATCCCAGAGTTTTGGTAATACCACCCTGAAGGCCCTTTCCTGGATTGCCACACACCTAATCTCAGAAGTTGGGAGCACCCAAAGCAGGGTCTCAGAAGATGACCATAGCACTTGGGTACGTTGGTAAGGGAGTAGCAGTCCTTCAGGTATGCTGGTACCAAGCCATGTAGGGCTTTAAAAGTCAACACCAGCACCTTGAATTGTGCCTGGAAACAGATTGGGAGCCGAGCCAGTGCAGATGGGCCAGGAATGGAGTGATATGGTCCCTCCAACCTACTCCAGTCAATTTACTGGCTGCAGCATTCCGCACCAACAGGAGCTTCCAAACTTTTCTCAAGGGCAGCCCATGTAGACTGCACTGTAGTAATTCTAGCTGTAACCATGGCATACACCATAATGGGAATTCTGCCCAGGGAAGGATGCAGCTGACTAACCAGTCAAAGCTGGTAAAAGTCGTTCCTGGCCACAACTGCCCCCATCGGTAAGACTGGGTCCAAGAGCACCCCCCCCCCCAAAAAAAACCTAGGGACCTGTTCCTTCAAGGGTGAGTGCATCTATAATGACTGAGACTTCAAGTCCTGGGTCAGATTTTCCACTTGTAGCACTTCCATCTTACCATGATTAAGCTTCAGTATGTTAGGCTGCATCTGCTCCACAGCTGCCTCCAGGCACCATTATTCAGGATTTCTATAGCCTCCCTGAGACCAATCAAGTGTGGGATAGAGGACAATCTTTGGATGATCTCACCTAGAGGGTTTATAGAGTTGTTGAAAAGCAATAAGGAACAAGATGGAGTCTTGTGGGGCCCCAGAAGCCAAAGAACGTTTGAACTAGAGTCCCCCAGCACCATCTTCTGAAACAAACTCTTCAGGTACGACTGGAATGACCCTAGAATGGAACCTACCGGAAACAAGGTCCATAAGGATACCATGATCAATGGTAGTGCTGAGGATTTCTATTTTCTTTGCACTTATAACACTTTTTTTAAAAAAAACATTTATATTTGTGATCTGTACAGGGCTTTAAGGTGAATAAACGGGACAAATTAAAAATATGCTACATAGTAAAATTAAAACAATGAAAAATTTCATTTTCCTAGCCAGAAAATGCTAGGAGACTTTTGCTAATTGGACTCTCAAGAAGTGAATTGCAGAGTTTAGGGTCTACTGCCCAAGAATACTTCTGGCACCTGGAGCAAATCAAGCATTTATTGACAGCTAAACAGCATTTGCCATGACCAGGATAGGCCAGGATAGCCCAGTCTCATCAGATCTCAGAAACTAAGCAGGGTTGGCCCTGGTCAGTATTTGGACGGGAGACCACCAAGGAATACCAGGGTTGTGTGAGGCAGAGGCAGGTGATGGCAAACCACCTTTGAACATCTGTCTCTTGCCTTGAAAACCCCATGGGGTTGCCGCTAATCAGCTATGACGGCAAGGAATTTAGTGCCCAGGCGTGTGCTATGGGACTACATACCTCTAACCCCCCCCCTGCTGTACATGGATTCTTCCCACTTCCCTTATTGATGATTTTGTGTAACCTCTGATCATGCTTATTTGTCTGAGCACCAAAGGAGAAAGCAGGAGAAACAAGGCTACCCTTCAGTGGTAGGGGTCTGCACCAACCTAAATGTGCACAAACTCATACAGGCTTTCAGAACACACTGAGCACCAGAAGTTTTAATTCTTTTAAAGTTTATAAATAGATGGTACTTTCCTCCTGTCAGAATCCATCACATAAACCCTAAATTAAGCTTAAAATGCTGGAAAAACTGTGGGCAAACAGGAGATTGCTTACATTGTTGGTGGCACTGCCCAGTTATTAATTGCCGGACG